TGGACAATCCCTGATCAAATGGGATCCCCAACACCTGTAACATCTCAAAGTGGCACCTCCACTCTGTCTACCTCCACTAGCAGTACTGGAAGACTTCTTACTGACAGGACCCCCTTGCTGTGATTGGGGCCTATCATAGGGCTTCCTCTGACTTCCACCTCCCCTCCTGCACTCAGCTGGTCTCTCGGTGGCTCTAATCACACGGTTACCCCCTTCCAACCTTTCCACAATCTTCGCCTTCTCTACCAAGGCAGGAAACTCGGTGATGGCCATAGGCACCAACACCTTCTTCAGCTCATACTTCAGACCCTCTACAAACTTTCTGCACTTCCAAGCCTCAGAAGTAGCCTGTGAATAAAAACGAACCAAGTGCTCGAACCTCATCGCATACTCCGATACAGACAACCCACCCTGGTGTAACCGCAGGAACTCAGCCTCCTTGGCGTTCCTTACACTCTCCGAAAAGTACTTCTCCATGAATACCGTCTTGAAGCACTCCTAATCAACTGCAACTCCTCTAGTAGCAAGCATCTGATAAGTGTTTCCCCACCAATGCTCGGCCTCTCCCACAAGCATATACATAGCATATGCTAACCTCCTCTCTAGAGGACATCCCAGGACAGTAAAGATCTTTTCCAGCTCACGGATCCAGCAGTCAGTTACCTCTGGATCTGCATCTCCTGCAAACTGTGGAGGAATACACTTCCGGAACTCAGCAAGATCCCGGCTTTCCTGTGACCCTGTAGGTCTTGTTGCACCAGCTGCAGCTCTCTCAGCCTCTATCCTAGCAAAATAGGCATTTTGCTGTTGCATAGCCATAGCCATCATCTCTATGGCACGGGCTATCTGCTCATTGGTCCTAGTCATCATCTACAAAAAGGAACAACATCTTTAGTATACTACCATTCAACCCAACTACAATTAACAACACAATAATTCATCACATCAGTCAACACAGCATACAACAAACAGGATCACACAACACAGAGTTAACACAACGAAAGCCTAAAGGGACCACCCCAAAGAGTGTCCACTAGACTCGACCTACTCTGATACCACTAAAGTGTAACGACCCGGCAGGTCACCACACTCATAACCGCAGCACACCGGAAACACTAGACAGAATAGAACGAGTATATAAATATAAGATCTAGAATATAAATATATACAAATGTTCCAATCTGACTAGAGTTAGGGCGTATAATATAAAATACAATCCAAAATAGCCAGATAGTGGCTTAACATCCAAAACATCAGCCAGTTAAGACTCCCCGTCCTCTGCCAGCTATAAGCTTGCTCCTATCACAAATCTAGCCCTGCTCTGCTCCCATACAAGTATGATCATCGCAGTCCAAACACATGGAAAACAACAAGGGTAAGCTAGTATAAAAAGAACAAGATATAGGGAAATTTTTAAGTAATAACAGCAATTACAACCATCAACAATTCATCAATAAACATCCTGTCAGTCATTACCACACGGTTTATCAATGCACACACAATGCGTCGTCACGCATATCACCTCGGAGATCTCCTACCACACCTCAGCCTTTCGGCCTACACACCTCAGCCTTTAGGCCTACACACCTCAGCCTTTCGGCCTACACACCTCAGCCTTTCGGCCTACACACCTCAGCCTTTCGGCCTACACACCTCAGCCTTTCGGCCTACACACCTCAGCCTTTCGGCCTACACACCTCAGCCTTTCGGCCTACACACCTCAGCCTTTCGGCCTACACATCTCAGCCTTTCGGCCTATACACCATCCAATATCAGCACACGTTTCATCACAACGGTACAACTCAACATATCGATTTTCAACAATGCACAACTAATACAACTCACCATATCATTTTTCAATCAAAATACAACTAATGCAACTCACATCAATCATCAATATTATTTACTCATCATCACACCATATTCGTCCATTCCAATTCAACTCAGTATATAAGGAATTATCATCTCCGCGCCCGGCGCACTCGTGGTCGCGCCCAACGCGCCACAACCAGAGAGCACCAGGAACCAATACGCTCGGCGCAATACTTATTGCGCCTGGCATGAGGGAAGGCAGAGGCCTCACAGGATTTCATATGCCCGGCGTACGAACCCGCGCCCAGCGTAGGATAGGTATAGACTTTCTCCAAGTCTCACGCTCGGTGCAATATAAATTGCGCCCAGCACCACCCCTGGCAGAGACTCCCATGGAATCTCCACGCCCGGCGAGACAAAGCCAAGCCTGGCGCCACACCAGAACTCAAAACTTGAGGCCTACACTGATAACGCGCCCAACGCGGTTCCACCACGCCCAACGAGGGCCATCCAGAGACTCACATCCTGAAGTCCGCCCGACGCATTCACCATTGCGCCCGGCGTGCTTGCGTAAATGGAGTCTCTGATGGTCATGCGCCCGACGCGAAGAACTACGCCCGACGTGATACCCAGCAGCTACCCTCAAACTTTCGAAAATCTCATCGGAACCTATAAAACAACCAGGGAATCCCACATGCAATCGGCCCAAAAATAATGCATTTCCATCGAGCATCACGAAAAACCTCTCATTTCCAACATGCAACCATAGAATCAAGAAAACCCAAATTTTTGAAATGAAACTCCAAACTCCCAAAACCCATTTTAGCAAATCACCACCAAGAATCAACAACCAAAAATCAGAATTTGAGTTTCTAGAACTCGTTTGCAACCAAAATCCACAAGAACCAGCTTCCCTTACCTTAGCTTGAAGATCCGAGCTTCGGGAAGGAAAACGAAGAAGGGGGGAAAAGCTTGATTCGGAGAAGAAGTACAAGCTTGGACAGCAAGGAGAAGAAGGCCTTCGCACACTCAGCTAGAAAAAAATCCTGAACCTATTCCGCACCACCACCTTGAGACAGGAAAAATGGTAAATGAGATCCAATGCACAGATGGAAGCAAGGAGGGAAAATGAGAGTTAGAGAGTAAGAGAGTTGGGGGGAAAAGGTTCCGTACGGGGGTCTCACATTTATTACTAATTAAACAAAGTTTATATTTTATTAATATTAATTATATTATTATATTTATAAATAAATTAATAAATATAAATTATATTATGTGACATCATTATATTGATGTGTATATCATTTATCACATTATTTGACATACAACTAACATTATATTTTTAATCAGAAGAAGAAATTGTAATGTACAGTTATCTTATCTTATTTTAGTATATATAAATAGAATAAAATTCTACAATAGACGTTTTCCACTCAAAATATATGTCCTTTTAAGAAAATACTACATTCAATACACATTTATTTATTGTGTTACACATGTATCACAGGCTACATAAATGAGCATCACAATTCAAAGTACTATTGTCTATTCCATTTTCCTGCATTTAAAAAAAGTAACACATTTCATAGCATTGATTCTTCATTTCCGAGACCTTTGCCTCTTGATCTCCCTTATTCTTTCATAATGAAAAATCATTAATTGGAAGGTGACATAAGTTTCAAGACAATCCATTCCCCATAGTTAACAAAATCCCTCTATCTCTCTCCTTCCACACCAACACCATCCCTGATCTCTTTCTTGGTTGCAATTTGAGATAGTAACTTGATTAAATTTCTTCTCATCTTACTGTTTTTCTATTGGCAAAATATTGTAGAGGAAAACCCCTTCATCATGTTCTTCAATGAGACCGATCTGGCAAAACATGTCATGGGTTGCAAGGAATTTGAGTTCATCATAGAGGAAGAAAGCTTTTCTGATTTATACTTGAGTTTGTAAATAATGAAGAATGAGTGAACTTTTTGATTTGGACTCCCTCCTTATTTTCTTTTCTCATAGATGCTAAAAACAGGTTAATTATAATTATTTTTCTTCATAATTCTTCTAATGCTAACACAAGCAAATCAAATATTTTCGTTTAAGGTTATAAAGTTAATATGAAACAAAGATTGCATATACTATAATTTCATCTCAATAAAAAAAAAAGGTGTCAAGATGATAATCTTTTATAAAATATATTTTTTTTATACAATTTTATTGATTAAAGACATCATTAAAATTATGAAATCTTTATACCATTTATTTGTTTTGTATTATTTTTGTTAAAAAATAAAATTACTTAATTTTTTTATAATATTGATTTGTTATTTATACACAATGTAATATACATATATATATATATATATATATATATATATTAAAAATATATTAATAATATCATAAATTAATTAAAAAAAATTATTTCGTGCATTGCACAGGTTACCCACCTAATAATATTTAAGAAATTAAAATTATTTAATTAAAATTTTATAACCAAAATTGTATAATTACTTGAGAGATTAAAATGTATTTAAATATGTTATTTATAAATAGATTCAACATTTTAAAAAACAAATTATTAAAAGGTAAAAATAACCTTATACAGTATAAAATATTTGTTGTAAATATAAAATTTAATTAATACAATAAAAATATTTATTTACAATATAATTTATACGTTAAAAATATTTATTTACTATAATTTTAATTATATTAAATAAAATTTTATCCAATACATTACCTGAATAGATAGATTATTTTTATAAATAAAATTGTACAATATTTTTATAACTAATATAATTAGAGTCTTTAACTATTTTGTAAGATCCTAACATTTATTAAACTATCTCTGATAACTGTGTTTTTATATAATAAATTTTATCATTAAAACATTTTGATGTGAATGACTCAATATAAAAATTGTTTTATGAACCTTTTATAATTAGTTCTTATTAATAAAATATTTTAATTTCACTTCAAAAAGTTAAATTCTCTTATTAAAATTTTAAATCCTAATTGATATAGAAAAGTTCATAAAAATAGATTAATAACCCAAAAATAAATTGCAAAAATTTTGGTCCTCTTCAAAAAAAAAAAAAAAAAAGAGAGAATGTAGTATAAAGTGAAATGAATGATGTGACATAAAAATAAATGAAGAAAAGACCTACATACCCTTACTGGTAGAACTACACTTGTGTGTTGTTTGGGAGCACTTCACTGTTCTCTCACTCAAATTCTCATTTTCTTATTATTCATTTCTTTTTCCTCTGCTCTCTCTCTCTCTCTCTCGTGTCCCCTTCTCCGTGGTAAGTGTTGCTTAACATCTCTTTCGTGAATAACCCATGTTTCTGTTCCTCCTCGCATGTATAAGATAAACCGTTTCTATTCAAAATCCGAATTCCACAGCGGTACCACTGATACAGCGAACCCTCCAACAGCGCTAGTTCTTGCGATCATTGAGTTGTGTGTTTTACCTGCATTGTTCTGTGCTTTAAATTTTGTAGGGTGAAGTGGGTTTTTGCGATGTCAGAGAAAGGGGGAAAGGGCGCTTCGCTGTTAAGCAAAGGGGGTATGTGTTCGTTTTCTGTCTTGCCCTGCATGTAAAGTTTCGATTTTTTCCCCTTGTTTGCTTTTGGGTATTTGATTTTCTCTTGTTGGGTATGAATTTTCTGTGAGACTAGTCTGTTGGGTAAGCATGCACAAATACAGGGTTGGGTTTTGAGTCCTTTGACCTATGGGGTTGTTGTTGATGCTGGGTTTTTCTCTGTTGTCAGATATGAGATGTTGCACCTGATTTATTTATTTATTTTTATTGAAATGTATTTGTGCCCCCACCCCTTTTGTTGAAATGTCTTTGTCTTTGGTATATTATCCTTGTCCTTTCCTTTGATTTTGCATGTGTTCTTTTGTGTCCTTTCATGTTAGGGTTCATTTGCTTTGAACATTTAATGTCTTCATTTTCTGGTTTTGAGTCTTTTGACCTATGGGGTTGTTGTTGATGTTGGGTTTTTCTCTGTTGTCAGATATGAGATGTTGCACCTGATTTATTTATTTATTTTTATTGAAAGGTGTTTGTGCCCCCACCCCTTTTGTTGAAATGCCTTTGTTTTTGGTATATTATCCTTGTCCTTTCCTTTGATAACATAACATGTGTGTTTGTGGTGGGTGGCAATATTCTAAACCAGTTTTGATTTAAGCATTTGATTGTTCATTTTTTTTTCTTCTATTTTTTCTTGGTAGGATCTCTAAAAGGGAAAGATGACAGTGCAACAAAATCATCAAAGGGAAGGAAGGTTCAGTTTTCTAAAGAAGGTTAGCTTCTTTATTCTATTAGCTTCGTACTGCTTGTCAGTGGAGTATGCAAGTACTAGAGCTTCTATGTGATGCGGTTGTCACTCAATCTACTGATCTTGTTTACAACAAGTTGTTCAATAACCTTACTGAAATTATTGCTTGGTTGTCTATTACAGGTGCATTTGAATCTGGAATAAGTAGTTCACTTACTTCACTAAAATCTGGTGGAAAAGGTGAGTGTAATTCCCAAAGTTCTTATTGTCTTTTTATCTGTTTGGTAACATTGCATTTGAGCACATCTCCATTACAATCTTTAAATCAATTGTTCATTATTATTTTTAGTTATGTTCCTTTTTACTGGACTATTTTTTTTTTAATTTATTTTCATGGTGACTTTATTAAAGGAGGAAAGGTTGCAAATGGTGGAAAGAGTTCTCAGTCAAAAGACCCGCATTCATCAGATCAAAGAGTTGGGAAAAGTTGGTGCCTGTCTCCATTATCTTTTATATGTTTTTTCTTTTATATTTTGTAAATCATGTTATTATTTTGTGCTTGTATGTCTCACATTGGGATTTAGAGTTTGTTTGAATAAACTTATTCAGAAGCACTTGTAGAAAAAAATAAAATAAGAAAAATTGAAATAAGTCTCTCCATAAGATAAAGCTAGTTTATGCATAAGGTGAAAATAAGATTTTGGGAAGTTAATAAGAGAACTTCTACAAATTAACTTATGGCATAAGTTAATTTTAGCTCATAGATAACTTTATTTCGTTTTTTCTTCTATTTTTCTCTCTTAGAAGTGTTTCTGTAGAAGTTTATTCAAACAAGTCCTTAGCCATTTAGGTTATGTTACCATATAAACTTAATCTGCATTACATGATGCCCCACTTTTCTCTTACTAATATCAACAATATTAATTCTTGGGTGAGATGCAGAACTTTCCGAAAATATCAAATGCCTGATGGACTGTGAGGCCGCAGATATTTTACAAGGAATTCAAGAGCAGATGGTCATGTTATCTAGAGATTCAACTTTCAAAATGCCCATGTGAGTGAGATGCTGAGCTTCTTTTGTATTTAAAAGGGTGTATTGGATATTTAATAGTTTATCATTAGAGTAGAAGATATTTTTGAGTGATCTGAACCTTTTGTTCTCCTGTTGTAGATCATTTGACAAGGGACTGCAGTATGCCAAAAACAATAGCAAGTATACAAATCCGCAGTCTACTAGACGTGTTCTTGAGTATCCTTAATTTTTTGGTGTGGTGTGTGTTAATACATATGTTAAGCAACTTGTTTAGTTCTTGACTTTGTTCGCATAGATTGATGACCATTGCTGTTGATTCTTATACTCTTTTCTCTTTTTCTTGATAATGTTCATCTCTTGACTCAAATATCAGACCTCTTGCAAAATGTGGTCTCACTGACAGTGAGGTAATGATCATATTATAATTTCCTTTTTTCATGTGTTATATGTAGCTTTCTTGACATAATCACCTGCTGCAGGTATGTGTGATTGGTAATGTGTGCCCAGAAACTATTGATGAAGTGTTTGCTCTTCTCCCATTATTGAAGGTATGACATAGAGCATTTTGTGTTCCTTTCATTTAAATCATTAATGAAAGGAGATATGGTTGTTTTCTTATTATGTAATAAGGTTCTTTCACTATTTACAAGTTAGTGTTTACTAAGAAGGAGCTCTTCCTTGGATAAGTAACTGCAGTGGCAAAATTGATTTAATTTTAGGCCAACAATATTTGGATAGGGTAGGTGTCTTGTGATTTTTTGGACAAGTGTCTATAATATGACCCTTTTCTTAGCTCATCAAGAATAGTGTTTGTTGAATTAGTTTTCTGATATATATATATAAAGTTACATAAATGAAAACAAGTCTCTTGGTCCAATAGTTGTAAGGCTTATCTTAGGATATAGGGGTTTGACTTGTTGTTCTTGCAATCATTTCCTGTCAACATTAAAATAATGCTTGATCAATAGAAGTTATATCCTGATAGCGCAGATAGTTATTTTTGGAATACTGTGTGGATCATGTTCATAGAAAAAATAGAGTTATATAAATGACTTGTGTTACCTAGGAATGAATCGGAAATCCATCTCATGGTGTGTATCTGTTTCAGGAGAGAAACGTTGACAGACAAGTTCTTAAAGATTCGTTGAGTGAGCTTGCTAAGCTTAGACGGCCGGTGTAAAGCCTTGTAATGAAAGAGCTCATGGGTGAGTTTTCACATGTAGCACATGTGAAACAATTTTCAAACTTGGACACTAATGTTAAATTTTAATCCATGTCTTATGTTCGGTTTTTAGTTTCTAGTCATATCCTACTAGGCTGTACAAAGGTCTGATGCAGAGTTGTGAATGACAATTGAATGAATTTTGCATGTACAAGGCCATGGTTCTTTGTTCCCCTAGTTTGAGATTAGGGTGAGAAAAGTTAAGATTTGGATAGGGTATTATATAACTCATTTTCATACTCAGTATATGAAAAAAAAAATATTCGTGTTTTGGTTTTATATCGGATAGTAACTTAAAGAGTAAATTACACTATATATGGACCTGCGCTTATGCGTGGACAAATAAGTAAATTATTTTATTTGATAGTAATTTAAAGTTGTGTTAGAATATATTATATCATCATTTGATGTATTATTTTTAGATGTGGTTTCTTTGAACTATGAAATGTAAGTTTATTACAACAGATTTCGTAGTTTTCACATTGATAATATTTACACCAATAATCTAACATTCAATCTCTACTATTTTGTCTTATTTGTAGAGTTATATTCTTTTTGGTTTAGTCTTGCATTAGTAATTTTTTTATTAGATGTTTTAAGTTTTAAAACATGATATGAATTAAATAATATTTCAAGTCTTTTATATTTTAAACTGTTAAAAATTTGTCTATTGATATCTCACTATTGATATAGACGCCTAATAGAAAATTAAGTTTTAAATATATCATTATTAAGAGAATAAATGAAATGAAATTAATTCAGACATTTACAAGGTGCCTACATTAACATTCGCGTGGCAGAGGTTCATTGGGACAAAGTCAAATGTATTAGTAATGTTTACTTAAGAAATAACAAATTTAATTTAGTGAATTAAATATTACGTTTTTTGTTGTTGCAACCAATGTTTTAAAACCCGGACCGACCCGGCCGGTCGGACCGGTTGGACCGGGAACCGGTGGTCCAGCCGGTCCGAATCTGAAGTTGGATCGGTTATGCAGTCGACCCGTTTCAAACCGGATTGAACCGGTCAATTTTCCGGTTCAACCGGTGAACCGGTGGGTCAAACCGGTTCAACCACTTTTTTTTTTTTTTTTTTTTAAATTTTTTTAAGGGACCATAAATCACAAAAATAATAATGAAAATTGAATCTCTTAATGAAAAAGCAAGGAGTCTTATTAAATATAACAATGACTACTTGTTCTAATATATTTGTTTGCAATATATACAACTTAAATAACTTTTATAGTATATTATTAATTTTAAATTATATATTTAATAATGCAATATCTATGTAAATATTACATATATTATTTTGTGATATTAATTGCAAGCATATTATATATGTACATATTATTTATATTTTTAATTTGTATTAATATACCGTTTAACATGTAATTTTTTTATGTATTTTTTTACAAAATAAAAATAAAAATAATTTAAAATAAGATAGAAAAATTAAAATTTAAAATAAGATATGAATTTATTAAAATTTATAAGTATAAAATATATTTAATATAAATAATTTTTAATAAAAATCAAGTCATGCGGTTCAACTAGTGACCCACCGGTTCAACCTTTGACCCACTGACCCAGTACCTTAATCGGTTCGATGACCGGTCTGGTTTTTAAAACTATGGTTGCAACTTGAAAGAGTTTGGATTTTCCTTATACTAGTATTATCCGCATAAACAAAAATTACATATTAATTAAAAAGAAAAATTAAATAGGCAAATATTATTGATTTTTTTATTATAATAAATCACGTTAGGGATATATTAAAAATCACGGTAAGAATATTGTTATGTTTTTAATAAAATTTATCTATTTTATCTTGTTAAATAATACTATGAGAATATTAGGAGATATTCATCTAATTTTTATAAATGTATTTAATTAACTTAAAACTCTTAATTTTAAAATTTACTTTTGGTCTAGAATTATGCACAATGAATAGTATTGAAAAATAAAAAGGAAAAACATAGAGCAATGTAGTTAGTTGATATAAATATGCATAATATTATTTATTATTTAATTAATAAAGAATGAGACATGAGATATAAAAGTAGTTTTGAGGGTAGAAAAGTAATTACGGAGGAGAGAGTGAGGCGCGCTCTTTCATCTTCTTATACACACACGCGTAACAGAAAAGTGAGAAACGATTACGAAGAAGCATTTGGCATTTTGGAGAGAGCAACTAAGGCAAGAATGGCGTGCGTCGCAACTTGGGTAGACAGAGGGAGCACGGAGAGCCATCGCTACTTCCTCAGTCGCCGAACCGTGCTGGAGATGCTTCACGACAGAGGCTACGACGTCCTTCACCATGCCAGCCTCACTCCCTCCCTCAACGACTTCCGTTCCCGCTTCGGCCAACAACCCAATCACCAAGCCCTCGGTTTCTGCGTTTCGCATCTCTCTCATCCCTCCAACATGGTGGGCGTGGCTACCTATTCTACCACTAACTAAACTTAACTAACTTTGTTAATAGTGAACCACGACCACGTTTTGCTCTGCAGGTGCAGGTGGTGTTCACGGGATCCGATCACATAAGAAAAGGAACCGTGAGTGAAATATTTAACCTGATTGTGGATAGAGAAAATTTGAAAGCGCTCATACTTATTGTGCAGAGTAAGATGACTTCCTTCGCGCGCAAAGATTTGGAGACCTGCCCATTTAAAGTTGAGATATTTAGAGTGAGTTTCTTGTTTAATCCTTTTATAATAATAATCATTATTATTATTATTTTTTCTGATTTTAATTACTTCTTCTTCAGATCTTGTGCTTCATATATATAACACAATAAAAATCTATAAAATAAATTCTCTTATGGATCGACATATTTAGTTAAAAGTTATATTCTTATTAAAAAATTTAAATTTCATGTCCATGACTAGAAATAAAATAAACAAAAAATTTGTAAATGGGAAATAATCCTTATTTTTTAAGTTAATTGTATTTGATAGAGTTAAGGTAGGCTATTAATTCATATTCTAAGATGTTATCATATTTATCTAGATAAAAGAGTTATCAACTATTGATATACATCAATCATTAGTAGTGTATTAGAAAAAATATCAAATTTTACTTATTTTAAATTATTAAAAAGGGTTATTCATCATATCATATTTATTATTTATCTATGCATAAGTTCAATAGTATTAAATGTGAAAAAATGTATTAAGAAAAATCTAAACTTTACATCAACTAAAAAAAAACTTTATAATAACTGGAGATAAGATAGTATTAGAATGTTATAATATATATATTAGTATCAATTGTCAACCATATCTATAGATTAAAAAAAAAAAAAGCTTTTACTTTGGAGGGTCGTAATTTAATAAAATATTTTAGGTTCATAGCACACAATATTATGTAAGATGAGATTATTTTTAAAAGTTCTCTTATGGTATGCGTCCAATTCTTGCATTCAAACATCGGATAGTCTTTAACGAATTACACTTTTCACACTTTATTTATTACTCATTTACTTGTTCAATAATTAATGTCTTTCTCTAGTTAACTTGATGGAGGTTGGTTTTGACCATTCACTAGGAAATTAGGAAGCTTCATGGTGTTTAAGGGATCAAATCCCCAACAGCCACATAATTAAAGGATTGCTATGATACTGTATCATGTGAAAGTTTTATAATGTCGATAGATGCAAAGATTTTGTTGAGATGTAAGTAAAATATCATATCATTTAAATAAAAGAATAAATATGAGTTTATATACACACAATTATTTTTATTAATAAAAGATATTTTGAGTGATGTCTAAAAATAAAACTGTCAGGACTTAGATTTAAAGTGGACAATATAAAATCTCTTGTATCAAAAAATTTTCTAATAGCATGGAGGATGAACATGAGTCTTCCTAATGGTAGGTTTGGAGTTGACTCTTCCTAATAATGGGTCCATATATATGGAAGAATGGAGGAGTGTCCTCCTAGTTTCATGGAGGATGAACATAGGTCTTCTTATCGATGAGTTCGAAATTAACTTATGGATCTGGATACCTTGTATCGAAAGTATTCCTAATGGTGGGTTCATATATGAAGGAGTGTCCTCTTGAAAACATGGAGGATGAATGAGTCTTCCTAACGATGGATTCATATATGGAGGAGTGTTATCTTGGTAACATGGAGGATAAATATGAGTTTATATATACACAATTATCTTCATTAGTGAAAGGTCTTTTAAATGATGTCTAAAATCAAAATCATAATAAAAAAATGTATGTACTCAAAATAGATATTATTTTATTAATATAGAAACATGTGTGTGCTCAACCCTAATGCACAATAAATTTGAAATGAAAAATGATTAAGTCTCTGAACGCGTGTACCGAAATTCATTCTGAATAATTAAAATAATAATTTAAATAATAAAATATTAAATTAAATAATTATTTTATAATAAATTTATTAAAAATATTAATTTTAATGTTTTAGACGACGATTCGGATAGTGTAGGATCACTCATTTGAAATTTGATTTATGCGTTAAGAGAATGTTGTGAAAGGATCTAAAATAATTTTGTCATGTTTTAGAATAAATCTGAATGTTAATTCCATTAATGGTTGCATCTCTGGCCCTTATATATGTTGGGACATATTTCATGCCAATTTCTTTGTCCCGTGAAGGTTTATATTTTCAACAAAATATTTTATATTTTTAAGAAAAGTGCTCAGCAATGATGAAATTCATGTGATGATCCTGCTCTATTCAACCTTTACAGTATGATGAGGTATTAGGTTCTTTATGTTTGAATTTTTATGAGGATCGGGGTTTTAGTTCTTTTACACATATTTCTTCTCCTTTGTCTAGATAACTGATTTGCTGGTCAATATTACAAAGCATGTGCTGCAGCCAAAGCATGAGGTACTGACTGATGATGAAAAGAAAGCACTGCTCACCAAGTATAGTTTGGAAGATAAACAGGTAATGTATTTATTTATTTATTTTTTAATTTGGTGGATCACAGGTAGTGTATGTTTCAAAGATGTTCTTCAAAAAATGAATTACGAGAAACGCCATCAACACACTTTTTAACTCATTATTTTAAATATATATTTTTAATTAATTAATTTTTTTTAAAATATAAAATTTTGTGAACCTTATACATTATTTAATGATTCAACCTTTTTATTTTATAATTTTTAATAAATTTTAATTAATTAAAATTAGTAGTTTATGAGAGTTTTGTTGTTAACATTCCTCTAAAAATAATAATGATGGTAAGTTTTGGGAGTTGAAGAGTAGTTGTTTTGGGTAGGGATGGTAAAGTTGGTCATGGCCTGCGGGCCGGCCCGTTGGCCCCTTAAAAACTGGCGGGCTAGACCATCATTTCAACTCGTCAACCCGTCAAGCCCGTCTTGCCAAGCGGCCAACCTGCCGGGCCACAACTCGCTAGCCCGCATTTTTTTTTATTAATTTAATTATTTTTATGTTTATTTTATTTTGATATAGAAGATGAGGATGAAGATGATCAAGAAAAAAAGTAGAGATAACTTCTTCCAAGAGAGTTTATAATATTCTTAAAATAAAAATTCAAAGTTAATTAATTATATTTGAACTTGTTTTGTGGACTATCAAAAAATTTAGTTTATAAGTAATTTGTAAGTTTATAATTTAGTTTTGTTTTTGGTATAAGTGGACTAATTTCTATTTTGATTTTGTTCTAAGTTTGTAATTTGCTTTTGTTGAACATATATTATGTACAATATGTATGCATTTTTAATTTCATATGGTTATATTTATTTATTTGTAGCAAAAAAAATTTATTTGAACATAAAATATTTTTTTCCATTTTTATTTTATTTTATTTTTTTTGTATGCGGGCTGGCTCGCTAACTCGCCAACCCGTTCTTAGGCAGGGCAGGCCAGCATCCCCAGCCCGTTTTACATTAGTAACCCGGCCTAGCTCAGTCCGTTTTTAGTGGGCCAATGATGGGCCAGACCAAAACGGGCCGGGCTGGCCTGTTTTGCCATCCCTAGTTTTGGGGGTTGAAGAGTGGTTCGTTTTGGGGTTGAATAGAGTGGTTCGGTGATCTTAAAAAGTTATAAATTATACATATTACACGTGGAAATTTCTGGTAGCATATTTATGTCCTTTGCCTTTCGAATTATAAATCAGTTATTTGTTGCATTTCCTTATTTAAGTAGATTCATATCCAATGGTAATGTACTGTAATAAAAAAATATTTTAGTTTTGAATTGATTGTTCCATAAATATATTTATTATTTCTTTTTTCAGCTGCCTTTGATTTTAAAAACTGATGCCATAGCTCGCTACTACGGGTACGAGAAAGGTCAGGTTATTAAGATCACTCACAGTGGACCGTTGATTGAATCTTATGTATCATACCGCTGTGTCGTGTAATGATACTTCTATTGCATGTTTCAATGTTGAGTAATGAATTTTGGATACTTAAATAAATGAAAAATCTTATTGAGGCTTCTAACTTTTCTCCAATATCATATCAATCATTGTCACTTTTTTTTTTTTTTTTTTCACACATCACTTGTTTGTCTCTATGTTCTTATTACTTTGAAGGTGTAGACATCTCTCTTTCGGGGTCCAAATTTTCATTTATTTACAAAATGATGAGATTATATCACTAGCCAGTTGTTTGAGCCTAATACTAAGATGGGGAGAGTCTTGATTATAGTTACAAAAGTTGTTAATCTATTTATTTATATATTTTTTTTTTCATTCTCACAAAAATTTCTTGAGAAAATTTCATCTCGATACAATTTTTTATTTTATTTTTTTACTTATTCTCTTAATTTACTTCATTCTCATTTTTTTATTGATTGGATAAAGGTATAATAACTATTGGATCAATAATAGCTTGTTCATTAAATGATAATATAGTGACATGCAAGATATTATTTTTCTTGTAGTTTTATTTTAACAAAGTATTTTGATATCTTTTTTAAAATAGGAATTATACTGTGCTACAGTTGACACTATCAATAAAATCTGTTAGAAATAGACGGAGATTTTACGGATGCTCTTGATACATCAAGAAAAATGAACAAGATGATGTTCCAAACTTTATGTCAAGGTTCTGGTAAAAATATAAGTGAAAGAATCTCAAGGTGAATACTTATGTTAACATGATTTCCTATATTTATGATATTTTTGTAAACTATAATATTTCTTATACTACTTAAAAAGTTAACGATCATTTTAACGTCAAAACAATTATTTGAATCATCTGTGATGTGTAATATTACTATTTTTTTAAAATTATCTCTCTCTCTCTCTCTATCTCTCTCTCTCTCTCTCTATATATATATATAGAGAGAGAGATGAGGGTTATATACTAATACTGGTGTAACTTTTACTGAGTATTACACATTGCTCAATAATATATATATATATATATATACTTCAAAGATTAATAAAGCAAATTTTAAAACTAATTTTTTAAGTTATAATTTTTAAGAGTATTTCGAAAGTAATTTAGTTTGATTTTTATCTTAAAAGTCACTTGAATAAATAAGAAATCTGAGTGCGGTTCATTTCGATTTAATATAAATGAATTATGAAATTTGAATAAAATCAAACTAATTTTTTGTGGTTTGGTTTTTATGATTTTTAAAATTTGTTACTTAAAAATTAAAAATATGTAATATTGTATTAATTGTTTAAGATCATGCATAAAAAATAAAATATTTCGGTTTAGGGTTTAGGGTTTAGGGTTTTATGAGAAAAACTATATATATGAGAAAAATATTTAATATAATTACTAAAATTATGTTAAAGAAATGAGTTTACTAAAATAATAATATTATCTTAATTTAACATCAATTCTTATCTTATTATTTTAGTAAACTCATTTCTTTAACATAATTTTAGTAATTATATTAAATATTTTTCTCATATATATAGTTTATCTCTTAAAAGATATTATTTTCAAACATTATAAATAATTTATAATTTTTTATTTTAAAATCCAGTTTAGTAACTTACAATTTTATAAATACCTTGTATGTTATGTATCAATTTTATATACATGCACTATGTATTTGAAAGAAGAAAAAAAAGAATATGTTTACAAATAAATATAGTTTGATTTTAATTGAAGTAGTTTCATATTTTAATCCAAAAACTAGACCAAAACAAGTGGTTTTGGGAATTTAAAAAGTGAACTAAACTGCTAATTTGCATCTTTCCATCGATTTTTGATTTTTTGGATTGGTTTGCGATTTCTCGTTTGGGTTGGTTTGATTTTGAACACCTCTAATTACACTTTTATTAAGAAAACAATAATATCTTCAAATTAATAATTATGTAAAATTTAAAAGTATTGTTAAATGATAGATTGAGATTCATACCATTTAATAATAATTTATAGAATTTGATAAATTGATAACAAGACAGATCAAGGTGGAATTTGCTCACTCTGTCTGTGCCCTATAAAGGGTAGAGTGGGTTCAAGTTTTAAATTTAAAAAGATGAGATTATATTTTTAAAATTCATTCTCAACCACACTGAATTTTGTTTGATTCGAGTGAACTCACAAGGAATCTATCACATTTTTTTATAATTATAATTTATTTATACATTTTGAATAAATTAATTTTAAGTTGGTAATTTTATAATGTAAATAATAAATAAGAAATAATTTAAATATAGAAAGTTTAAGAATTAAATTATATTTTTAGTTAAACATATAATTTGAAGTTTGATACTTAATTAATGTTATAATCTAAATTATTTATTAATTAAAGTATTTTTTATTTTTAATATTTATAAAATTAAAATTTTAACTTATTATACTACTTTATTTATTCAAAGCATTCCATCTTTGGATTAACAAGCTATGGAGACTTTGGTGAAATTAGTTACAATGGAAGAAGTGAGAGTAACTGTCTTTCTATGGGACCATATAAGGTTCAGGTGCTGATGGTTTTCAGGTGGTCTTCTATAAAACCTTTTGAGAAATAACGAAACAGGATGTTTGGGAGTTGGTTGCTAATGTCAACTAATTTTTATGAGGGAGTTGCTGAGACTATCATCATTCCTATTTCAAAATTTAATAGTCCAACTACTGTTAAGGATTTTAAACCTATCAATTTATGTAACATTCTCTATAAAGTATTGTTGAAAGTTTTGGTTAATAGAATTCGGCCTCTTCTTGATAATATCATTAGCCTTCTTCAAAGTAACTTTATTCCAAGAAGAGGAACATGTATAATGTTCTCATTGCATTTGAACTTGTTCACCATATGCATAGGAAGAAAGGCAAATCTGGGTACCTTCTTTGTAATATTGATTTTCAAAAAGCATATGATTGTGTCAACTAGGATTTCTTAAAAGTTGTCTTGCAAGAGCTTGGCTTCCCTCCTTAAATCGATTATGTGCCATACATAATCGATTAAGGTGACATACTTTTGCTTCGAGGCGCATTCCTTCCTCGTCGCTGTTGTGGGATTGTGGGGTTGTTAGGATAATTTTGTACTTCTCGTTTCATTTGTTTATTTATTTTTTAATTCTATAAAATCCAATCAGCTCAATCCCTTTCTTTAATTCTATTTTATTAGTTTAATTAATTAATTAATTTGTACTCTAATTTGATGTTACTTTAGCCATTGTCGGTTGTCATTGCCAACTTTTTTTTTAATAAATAAATGGCCACTGTTATAATGTCCCTTCCCATGAAGGGAACCTATTCAATATTTAATATAATACATTAGTGGGGTTTATATGTGGATAATATATAATGTGAGTCAAAGTTTTGTTTCTGCATGGATCTTATTTCTCTCGAGTTTGTCAAATGCCACATTAATTTGTTAATGAATAATGGTTATTTAATACTTTTTTTCATATATATATATATATATAATATTAATATTTAATA